ATCTCACATGTGACAGGTGTGTCACTGGGGAGCGATAGGTTTGTGAATAGCAAGAGAGCATCGGGGAAGGTGGCTTGCATGTCCTTGCTGCTGACAGCGAGGTATCTGCAATGGTGCCTGACACAAGCCAGATGAGCGACCAGGAATGACAGGAGGATGAAGAATTACAAATAAGGTGAGGACTGGGAGATGCAGAGCCACAGCTTGGCTGTGTGTGTGTGTGTGCACATGCACGTGGGCACAGGGATCAAAGATCAGAGGAGTTTATATTTGGGCATGGGGACATAATCCAGGCAGCAGCTTATCTGCACAGGACATTTCCCATTCCCATTTAATTTGCGGCTAAAGAGATTGTTACCTTGTTAAATTGTTATTACCTAAGGCACAAAGCAGCCTTCTGGCTCTGCCAACTGGACTGAGTCACGAGCAGTTGGGTTGGAAAGCTGGTGTTCAGAAAACATCCTCCATGTGTGGAAAATTTCCTTGAAATGTGTGTTCTCATGCCAGGTGACGGCAGGGCTGCAGGCACTGTATGCACAGCCGCTCACTTCAAATGAGCAGCGGTAGCTTTGCATTAGAGACCTCTGTAGGGAGCAATAAACTGGGAGGCAGCAGGGACGGGGGTGCAGAATGGGGGAGGACTGGCCAGAGTGGGCTTAGTTACACCACTGATCCCATGTGATGATGTCCCTGCCTGTCTGCTTGCGGTGCTGAGCTCCAGCGCTGTGCAGCCTTGGGGAGTGCACTGGGTCAAGTGGGGTGAGAGGTATCTTCTGATCTTCATGGAACTGAAGACTGAGATGTTTAGGAAGCTCGGAAAAAAATTTGCACGTGGAAAGCTGCCATCTACAGATGCCTAGCAGCTAGCAGCGAGTCTTGTGTCGCAAAGCTGGATGCTGGCAGTTGTCTTTGGGGTGAACGTGAATGAAATCAACCTTGACATGTGAGGAACTATGTACGTGAGCGTTGCACCACTTGCAGTAGTTGGTGCTGTCTGCTGGACATGTGCTCAAAGACCCTTTGCTCACCATGTCATGTGGCCACCCACTCCCTTCAGGCTACATGTCTGATTTCTTTCCTTGTGGCCCACCCTGAGCACATGGCTGCTGGCTTGCCCTCTTCAGATACGTGCAGACTTTCTACACATCTATGTGTGTGTGCGTGCATGTGTGCATGTGCTTTTTCACTTGACTGTTTCTAGCAGTACTGTAGAACAGAGATTTTATTTTCTGGTCTGTAATTCTAGGAAAAGGGGCCTCAGGGACAGAACTATTCTTATTCTTGTCTTTTCTTGTTCTTTGTGCTGCTTGCCCGTGGAGCTTGTTGCATTGTTTGCAGACAGAACAAAAGCAAGCAGTGGAGGGAGGCTTTCTGCTGCTGTGCAGAGGTGGTGGGGACTTGGAGCAGAGAGAAAGTGGATTCATATACTCCTTAGGAGCAAGAGGGTTAGAGCCCAAACTTGGCTGTGCGAGTTTCTGTCTTACAGCGAGTTTAGTCCCAGACAAGGCAATGCCTCGTGCTCAGGCACGAGGACCCAGGCGACAGGACTCCCAGGCATCTGCTACAGCTTGGGAGTTGCAATGTGTTTTCCCTTGTCAGGCTTGATGCATTCAAATACATGTCCTCCCTCCAGCTATCCCCAGGCAGGTAGCTCATCTTGCGTCCCCCGTGCTCCCATGTGGCATTCGGTCTCTATCTGCCCATCTCTCCACTCCGCTCTGTTCTTGCAGAGCCTGCTGTCGTGAGCGGTTGCAGCTCCGTACACTTGTGATGCTTCCTTGGCACTTGCCAGGGCACTTGCTGTTGTAGCATGCACCAAGGGGAGATGCAGGTTTTTTTGATCACGGTGACGTGGCGCCAATGCAGGAGGAAGGTGCTGTTGGATCTCTTCTGCTTTCCCGTCCTCTGGCCAGCCAGGTAATTTAATAAAATACTCTGCCACATAGACAGCTGTTCACAGCTTCAAAGTGGTGTGCAAACATGGCAAACATCCTGCAGCACCTTGCCACGACGTGACACTAACCTGTCAGCAGGAGACAGCAGTAAGTCACCGCGTGTTTCAAGTATGCGGCTCCAAAGTACAGTCACGAGAAGCCAGCACTTGTACTTCACCTTTGATACGTTAGAGAGCACCTGGTCCTGACAGCATAACCAGTGTTTGATCCTCGGCTCCTTGAAGTTCGTATGAACCCTTTCAAGTTGCTGCAGTTCAGTGGATCGTTTTAACTTCCTGATCCTCATCTGCTAGAGGTGGGAGCAAAGACATGGCCGTGTTTCTGCAGTGGCTGCTGCCTCCTGGACTCTGGTCTGTGTGTTGGCTCTGTCCTGTAAATAGGGGAGAGCCACAGCCTTCTGTCATGATGAGATGCGCTCTCCCCTCGAGGCAGGAAAGAACAAGGATTGCCATAGACAGCAGAGCAAAAATCAGCTCTGTCAGCGTTTCCAGGTCCTGCTGACACCAGGCTGCCAGTAAGGAGGTTTGGGAAGTATTTTTAGCCAAATGGGAAAGCAGGTGCCCTTGGCTCTTTGTTTTCATCCTCAGGCTAGCACAAACAGGGCTGCGCAGCTCCTGCTGCACCCTCCAGCCTGAAGCAGTTGCTGGAGGCACGTTTCAGCTCCCCTGCCCTCTCACGAGCTGCCTGTCCCACAGGGATGCAGCCACTTAATGTGAGAATAAAGCCCTTCCAGATGAGCCGGGCTGGGTTGCAAAGTAACCTCTTACGAAGAGGGCTGGAGGCTCTCCTGGCTGCCCAGTTCTTGGGAGGTGCCCCCGAGGTGCTGCTCGCTGCCCTCCTCCAGCTGCAAGTGGATGCCAAGCCCCCAGCAGCCACTTGCCTGGGCGGGAGGAAAGCTGGGCTTGGGGTGCCTGGAGAGCAGCCCATCTCTCTGGGCGAGCAGCCCCAGCACCCTCCCTCTGGTGCTGATGCCGTCAAGCAGGGAGTCGCGCTGCAGGTCGGCTCGGCAGAGGGGCTGCGCGCATCCTCAGGGGGAGCACAAAACCCACTGTGGTACAGGCAGGCAATGCCTTTCGAAAGGACCGCTGCTTTTTGTTTTATTCCATCTTTGTTTGTTTCCTAACAAAAGCTGGATCCACTCTTCCTCAGAAGAATTGAGTTTCCAGTTGGCTTTTTGGCTTTAGCTGTACGTTTCCTGGGCGTAGCGCAATTTTTCTCAGCTGAGCCATTGTACGAGGTAATACAGTGATAGACTGCCTCTGTATGTGAGGCTGTTTGTATGGGAGCCTTTTGTTTTTCTCTCTGCAGTGGGAGCCTGTGCTCTGATTGTGTGCGTTCCAGGCTTTATCAGCACTGGGAAGATGTTGCTTGGGATTTAAGGTTCTCAGAGATATTCTTGTTTGGCATTCACCAAATCCGGAGACACGTGTTGGACATGGGCATTTTATAGACTCCAACAGCACAGCAAGAACTACAACCTGCTTCAAGACAAAAGGGAGAGGAGGAAAAAACAAATGCAACAAAAAGCTTTTCAGACAGCATTTGAAAAGCTCCCTATTAACAAAACACATGGCTTAAAATGTGCTCCTCGGTGCATTGAGGGGGAGAAGTGAAACAAACTGCTTGAGAAATGCATTCACGAGAAAGATGAGCACCAAGAAAGCTGTCTAAATTAAACAGTCGCTCGTAACATCCAAACCAACAGGCAGTGCCAGCAGGAAGAGAGGAAAACGGATTACAAGGTCTGCATGCCAATCAGAGCTGGGGACTGCTGTTCCAGGTATGGAGCTTCAGGAGGAAAGAGTATGTGTCCTCTCTCGGAGTACCTGGAGGACCCAGGGGTTAATTGCTACCTGTTCCCAGATGAGAAGCACCATTCGACTTCAGTGGGACAGATGAATATGAAAGTGCACTACCAGAGGTGGAGAGGCTGGTGATGGTCAGCACAGACTTCAGTTGGTAAAGACGGTATTGCCCAAATGGTGGACGCCGAGCGCAGTGGGTAGCTTCTCGCTCCGGCTGCTCCAGCGCAGGGTTAGCTTTAGGCTCTTAGAAGGGGCGTCTGTCACTGTGGTTTGGTACGGAGCTCTGAGCAAGTTGTGGCTGTGGCTTGGGGGGGGCAGGTGGATATCCCCATGCCCTCTCTGTCCCCAGCTCCCGTGCCAATCTGGTGCTCCAGAGCCTCCCTGGCACTGCACACAGACAGAGCTCCAGGCCCACCTGGACTGGCCGCCTCCACAACCGCGGCGCATAGAAGCAGAGTTAACCCTGCTCTCGTGGCAAATGCGGTGAGGCTCAGAGCTCTGCCTCCTTCCCCTGGCGCTGTGCAAAGGTAGCAGCTCTCTGCAGCAGTGGTGACACAGGGATGAGATTTCTGGTCTAGTTTGTGCCCTGCCATGGGGTATGGGCAATCAGTCCTCAGCAGACAATTTGGAAGTGACGGAAGATAACCCTAGCAGCAGAACAATTAGAAGCATAAGAACAGGTTACTAATGGCATGACACAGAGCACTCCCCTGCCAGCCCCCTGCCCTCTGGCCGTGCAGGCAGCCAAGGTCAGATGTTTCCAGGCTCAGTGATGCCTCCCATCACTAACTGTTTGGGGTTTTTTTTGTGTAGCTTTTTTTTGCAGACATCTCTGTTTATGCAGCAGTGACATGAGTGTGAACAAAATAGGCATATGCTTACCTGAGAAGCAGGGAAGCCGTATGGAGAATGAAGTATCATCTTGAACTCTAACTATTAAAAAGTGGAATGGAAGGCAGGATTTGTTCAAAGTCAGGTGGTGTGGGAGAACAATGGAAGCAGTTATAGAAATGCACCAATTACGCTACTGGAAAGGTATTAGGTGTTGTCATCTCTGTTTCTGTCCCTCCTTTTGGTGGTACATTGGACTGATGTGTGCAAGTCAGCGTGGCCAGACCTCTTCCTTCCCTTTGCGGCGAGTGAGCACAGAGTGCGTGAGAAGCTGCAGTACATGCCAAGACACTGTCCCTTCTGGAGCTGGCTACATGCCTGCAGAGACTCTGTTTCCAGGTGGGAGTTGGGGCAGAAAATGCAGAATGGTTACTAAGTCCCTGGCAGTTGGTTTGGAGACGCCTAGGCTTGTACCTGGCTTTGTGTGCCAGATCCCCGTCACCTTTGCATGCAAGGAGCAGGGAGGGAGCCAGCCACAAAGGTGCAGGACATGCTAGGTCGTGCATGCTCACAGATACAATTTAGATAGTGATTTATTTAAAATATTTTTCCTTAACTACAGGCAAGTGCAGCTGTATTTTCTTTGTCAACCCTCTGTCTGAAAGGGAGAGAACTAGGGAACATAATCTGTTACTGTATAGCACTTTAAATAGGGTAGAAATGCCGTTGTGTGAGCCTCTGTCAGAGCTAGAGCTGCCTGGCTGTGTGGAGGTGTGCCCTCAGGAGGCACTCTGGTTCCCCCGGGACGCGGGCCAGAAAGGCATGGAGGCATCACGCCTTTGTGTAGAGTGGTTGTTCCTGCGTGCAGGAGGCGAGTTGGTGTTCCTTGGCCATGAGCCGAGGGTGATGGACCCACAGGGCACGGCCGGAGGGTGCCAGGTGAGACGCGAGCCCTTGGGAAAGCCGCATGGCGGCGTGCGGAGCGCCTCTGCCCTCTGAAGGGATTGCTAACCCGGAGCCTGTCCTGCTCCCTCCTCTCATCTGATGTGGCCTCTTGGTACTGCCCTGTCTCGTCAGCTTTCCAGAATGCTTTGTCCCTACATTTATCTTCCTTCTGTTGCTGGACATGTGACTGAAGGCTTTAATTTATTCACAGCCCTCTTTTTGGTAATTTATCCTTTGTACTCTTTGCTGTCTTGTATTATTTAATTCTGTAAAGCACTCTGGGATGCAGTGTGTATGAAAGATGCTGTACACAGTAACATTATGCGATATTGTTTGTGATTTGTAGGCCTTCTGGATTTCTAATTCTGATTGCAGTGATGGTGTTATTTGTGTTACGGCTGTGCTCAAGGGCCTCAGCTGGATCGGGCTTCCCTTCCAGTCCCTTCCCCAAAGAGCATGCATCTAATTCTGCCCTGATTTGGCATTGTCTCGCTTTATTCCATGTGCAATGTGTGTAATGGTTGAAAATGCAGGGCATGCCACATGGGCTGACTGCATGGGCTCGTGGTGTCAGGGCTAAACCCGAGTGTCTGACTCTTCTTGGGAGCTGCGGGGTTGCCCTTAGGGAAGGGATGGGAATCATGCTCTGCAGAGGTGGCACAGGGAGCAAGCGGGCTGTTCATGGGGTGGCCAGGGAGGGGCTGTTTGGGCACCACTGGGAAGGAGAAGAATGAGACCTGTGAGTGAAGGGTCCCTGCTGAGCAGCTGGAGCTGGAAGAGCTTTTCAGCCTGCTCCTGCAAAACTGGGAAGCCCAAATGAGGGCAAATCTCAGGGCTGCTGGCTGTTGCCTATCTCTCTCATGCCAAGGCTCTTGCTTCAGCTGCACAGTTTCAGTCTGGATTCAGAGGAGACCTTGCCATTTGTAGCTGCAGTTCAGCTTATCTGCAGGTCTGGCTCGCAGCCTGCCCCGGGCTGCTGTGCTGACCTCTGCGTCTGTCACTTGGGCTGTGGCAGGATCAGGAGAGGGGGTGGTAGGAGAGGTGCACTTCTTGAGCAGGGATGCCCTCCTTCAGTTGGGGTTGGTGTTTTTCCTGAAGCTTTGAAGCTTCCCAGAGTCAGGACTGGAGTTACAGCCCATGATCTCTATATCACCCTGTCTGTCCAGAGTATAAGTTTCCCATTAGAGCAGGTTTTCCCTCTCATCCACAGTCTGTACTTAGTTCCAGTTCATGCCTCGAAAGCCACACTTTAATTTTACTTGAGAGCTCTGGGCTTGCAGCCTGGTAGAAGCATTGCCTTCATGTACCACGCTGCAGTAGAAGAAAATTGAGAGCAGGGATATGGGGCCTGTTGCGTTAAATCCCTGTGCTCCTGAGCTGATGTTGGACTTGGAACATCCAGCTGTTCACAGTTTCCCCTTTTGCCTGGTCTCAGGTACGCCATCGACCGCAGCACAGACGCAGAGAGGATCTTTGACATTGATGCCAACACGGGTGCCATTGTGACGGGAAAGGTCCTGGACCGGGAGACAGCAGGGTGGCACAACATCACTGTCCTGGCGATGGAAGCAGGTGAGCTGAGTGCTGTGTGGAGCAGACAGTCTGTGAGTGTGTTCACTGCAGAGGTGACCAAGATGCAAATGTTAATTAACAGTGAAGTTTTTTTTAAAAAAAAAAGGCAGCAGCACAGTCTGACATCTCCCTAGACAACCTAAAAATACTCTTCCTGACTCGAGCATTAATAAGGGAGCATGGTCGAAGAGTATATTTGATGAACACTAATCAAATTTGTGTTATCTATGCGCCAGCTCTGCCAGTCATCCCTGTGCAGCTCGCTCCCTGCATTCACAGCTGCTGAGCAGCTCTGGGGGCTCCCAGGGGGTCTCTGTTTGTATCAATCACCAGCATCCTCCCGGTTCAGCCACGTGCTGTGGGTGATGCCCCATCACCTGGAGCCCGCAGCACAGACAGCTGCCAGCATTTCCTTCTGCTGGAGGCTCACAGTGGTTGGGATTAGCAGACTGTACCTGCACCCTGGGTTTGTGGCTCCAGATGCCTCCCATGCCCTTCGTCCTTGGTCTCCCTGCCCTTGGTGTGGCCGCAGGCTTGGCAAAGCACAGCAAGGAATGGATGGGAGGTCGCAGCGCTGCAGCGGTGGGAAGGGCTGCGGGGGCAGCGTTCCTGAGCCCCGTACTGGGGAGGGAGCAGTGGTGCTGCCAGTGTTGGCACCACCAGGCTGCTTTGGCTCTGGCCACAGTGCTTGGCCTCATCCTGCAGCCCACCAGGAAAAGCCTCAGGCACAGGGTGTGGTGAAGCTCTTTTGTCCTCTTCTGAAATTAGCTGCTTTCTGACCCTCCCCTGAGAGCTCTGGTGATGGTGTCTTCCTTCCCTTATGGCTGTGCTATCCTTTAGCCTGTATTTATACAGTAAGTGCCAAATGTGCTTGCGTGCATCAGGGAGAGCCGTGAGGGAACAGCCCAGCGGCTCTGCAGGTTTTGCTAGTTCTTCCCTCCGTGTGGTGGGGGTGGTGGATACTGGTGCGGTTGCTTCCAGCAGAAGTTCTGTTTGCCTTTTCCTGTCCAGTTAAGAACAAAAAGAACAAACCTGGGTCCTGTTGCTCGGAGGAGCTCTGAATAAACTCCTCTTGAGGAATGAAAATAGTGTCAGCAAAGTGGAAGCTTTGCTTCCTGCAGGTGTTCTGCTGTGGGTAGGAAGCTGCCCTGGGCATCCTGCTGCCCTCTGTCATGTTTGCACAGTGCCTGGGCTCATGGGCTCTGTAGATGCAGAGGAGCCTAAAGGTGGAGAAGGGGCTTCAAGCCCAGGCACCATGCTGGGAAGCAGAAAGGCATTGCTGTATTCTTGAAAGTTTTCTGTGTTTTGGATGCATGCGTTTCCAGGGCACCCTGGAACCTGCTGTGCTCTGCCTCCCTCGGCCCGGGAGCTGCTTTGGCTGCAGAGCACCTTCTGATGGCTGCAGACGTGTGCCAAAGCCTGCCTGTGGGCAGGAGCCTTCCCTGGGCGTCGCTCCCAGAAACCGCTCAGGAGTTCTGGTTCTCATTTCTCTTGAGCAGGAGGAGTGGGGCTGGATCTGGCTTGGGGCTTGGAGATCGGTTCCTGCTGTGGGGCCAGCCAGCTGTGGTGGCAGCCACCTGCTCCAGCCAGGCCAGGGCATGGGGCCCTGGAAGAGAGGGGACACACGTCCCAGACCCTGCTTTGTGCTGATGCTTGGTGCCGGGGCTGCGGTGAGCCCTGCCTGGCGTGACGCGGTGGTGGCGTGTGGGTGCTGCTGGGGGGGCAGCCCAGCCCGGGGCTTGGTGAGGAGGCTCTGGCGGCAGAAAAAAGGGTCGCAGCACTGCAGCACAACTCAGCATCCAGGGGAAACTTGAGGTGACAAGAATCAGAAGGACAATATTTACACGCAGCGGTTAGGGTTTCAGAACAAGTCAGTAAATGCTGCAGCTCCCCTCTGGCAGGGAGGCCTGTCAGGCTGGATCGCTTCAGAAGCCAGGAAGAGTCTTCGTCGCTCTGACTTCTCCCGTCTGTGAGCTCTGACTCATCCGTTTTAACTGCCCAGACATTCCTCCCAGTGACATTATCCTTAACGTTTTGTAATCATGAAATATTAATGACTGATATTGAATTTAAAGTACAATTTATGTCTGAATCCTCTGGTGGAAAGGGCAGTTGTTAAAGGTACAGCTTTCCAAGTGATGGAGGGGTTTCGAAGCGGGGCTGTGCAGCAGGAGCCAGGCTGCACCCGGTGCAGCAGGATCAGCCTGAGTGCAGAGCAGAGGGCGGCTGGCAGCCTTCACGCTGGCGTCTGCGTGTCCGACACGGCAGCTCCCAGCATGCAGGTACCTGGGGCTGGGAGGAGCTGGCAGGGCCCTGCAGTGTCTGCCCCGGGCGGAGCGGGCAGCCACAAGGTCTGCTTGTATGGCTGGGCAGGATGATGCCAGCTCCAGCAGAGACAAGTGGTAAGATATTCTTCCTCGGTTCTCAGCGAGATGTAAACTTTGCAGAAGGAATGGAGCGAGCACACTTGGCGTCCTGCTGCCTGGGCTTGTGCCAGCCACCCTGGCTGGTCAGGGCTGACAGGGAGCCGTGCCCGCTTGCTTTCCATGGCCCTGTGGCTGCTCGACGCCTGTGTCCCCAGGGTAAGTGGCCAGGAGTGCATTGCACCAGGGTCTTGCCTCCCTGCAGCCTCCTCGAGCTGCCCGCTGGCAGGACTGTCCTGGGGAGGGT